ATAAGATACTAACAGCCTATTCAGCATCAGTACAGGTCTGTCTATTGTTTGCTTATTTGAATATTCACGTTATTGACGGATTAATAGAAATATCATGCCCACATCAACCCAAGACACTGATATCAGCTTGAGGGCCAGAGAACAGATATGGACATTGAAGACTGATAACTGATATGTAGCATATGTAAACAGACATATGATAACCTTATCACTTATCATAATATCAAATTGTAAATTGCATGAATTTGATCTAATACATTTTCACCTTCTTTCATAGACATTGTAACTAGGGGTGGGTATTGCAGAGAATTTTCATATTGCAATATATTGCGATGCGAAAGCATGTATTGAGATATGTATTGCAATATATTGCGTGAAGTATTTTTACACAAAAAACTACTTATAATCGAGGTAATGCTTGATTTATAGAGCAGATACACAGCAAAATCACTATGCTGATTAAGCTTTAATAACAACTTTTATTCATGATTAAAAATAAAAATGTGAATAATATTTGGCACAAATGAAAAAAGGAAATATCAGAAGATTTCCAAGTGTTACAAAGTTTTCCTAATGCAAGTCAAAATACCGGTTTTCGATCAGCGTATCGCAATACGTATCGTTTTCATGTCTGAACCGTAAATAAATACCGGTAACCGGTTATATTGCGCAGCCCTAATTGTAACAGGAAAGCTGGCATGGTAGACACTGCACTAAGGGACATAACTCCAGTTTATTACTACCCAGGCTGATATTGATTGCCCATTTCACACAATGTTGTTCCATATAGCCTGGCAGGGGGTGGAATATGGATCTGGTTAGGACCATCTCTGTGTGGGCCCTATTACATATGCAAAATGACTCATATCACTCTGAGACATATTTGATAAGTATCTCAACACATTGGTCTTGATATAAACCATATTATAATACTCCATATTTTCAACACATGGCCAGGAATTCTTCCCTTTTATTTTTCTAATCCAACAAACAGTGAAACCAGAATGAACCAGAACAGTTGATTTGTTGAACACAGGCGGCTGTTCAAGCTCACATTTATGAGATAAGACTCACTTTATTCGTTTGTTATATAGGTAAAAGTGAACAACGTATTTATCTTACCGAACACCTTAATGGTAATTTTGAATTGTTTGAAGCACGGGTACAAATCTTTCTGTAGCCATCGCTAGATTTTGCTGACAAGAAAAACAGATTTAGAGTTATCTCCCTTCCATCGCTTTGCATTCGCAAAACATCGGTAATTTCCGTACATCATACGTGATTCAATGTTATTTGAGGTAAAGAATTACTACCACGAAGTGCCATTGACAGCGGGGTACATTGAAATGTTACTCGCTTGTAAGCTAACAGAAGAAAATAACAGAAGAGCGCTCAGCCAATCAGAAAGCGACATTTATGTGTGAGGTAAGATAAGTATTTTTGTATCACCAACTATCATGATACAGGTCTGTGTATTGTGGTACTTACAAGCCTAGCTGTATCATTTCACTCTCACATATATGTGATTTTCATTGTTTGATTTGCTGCTATTGTAATGGAACAATTTCAGTGATACTTGATAACCAATATAGGGCCTTACCCACCACAGTGGTGGAAGTCGTGGCTGAGCAGGTTAGGTGGCTTACTCTGAGGGTGTGGGTTCGAATCCTGGATGGGACTCAACCCAACAAAAGTACTAGAATCTGTAGTTTACTAAGAAAGTGTAACCCCAAACATAACATATGTTACATTTGACCACTTTCTAAATGGCATTGTGTCATCACAGTATAGGGCTTGTTTGTTTGCCGTTTAAGGGCTCGATGTGAGTGAGTGAGTTTAGTTTTATGCCGCACTCAGCAATATTACAGCTATAATGGCGGCAGTCTGTAAATAATGAAGTCACAACCAGACATTCCATAGAGCATCACCATGAGCATCGATTTAAATCCTCACTCAACATATTATGAAAAAAAAGGATAAAAAGCATCCCTGTGAAAAGTGGACTTCTTATGTATTACATACATACTATGCGTTTGGCAAGGGTGTTTAGATATTGAGACATGTCAAATCAATTCTGACATGCTCTTTGTCTACAATACGTTTTGAAACCAAGGAACATTTGAAAGCTAATGTCAGCATGAACTCTTTATACGTTATCAGCAGTTGTATCTAGTACATCATGAGTGTGTCTGTGTTACGATGAAGTGTAAGATAATTGGATGCATGTACCTGGTACAGTATTGCTGCTATTATCAGTAATTTTCACTGCTGCTCAAATGTGGAAAAAAAACTTGTTTTACACTTGGTTGGTTTAACGTCCCACTCAGCATTATTCCAGCTACATGGTGGCGGTCAAGTCTGGACCAGACAATCCAGTGATTAACATCATCTCAGCATCATTCTACACAATTGGGATACGATGACATTTGTCATCCAAGTCAGCGAGCCTGACCACCCAATCCCATTAGTCGCCTCTTACAGTAAGTTACACAAGCATGGGGTGCTGAAGACCAATTCTAACCTGGATCTTCACGGGCCCTATTTTATACACCTGAGATACGATACAGACATCCTGATAATATGGATGTGATATGATACATATCCAAATAATATGGATGTAATATTAATATTATGATACATATCCAAATAATATGGATGTAATATTAATATTATGATACATATCCAAATAATATGAATGTGATATAATACATATCCCAATAATATGGATGTGATGTGATCCGATCCCAATAATATTGGTGTTATATGATACATATCCCAAAAATATGAATGTAATATGATTCATATCCCAATAATATTATGGGTGTGATATATATCCAAATAGAGTACTTTTTCATTCATAAGTTCATATTCTCACGCTTTTTGCAGGTGAATCACAACCCTAAATAATTTGTTTTTAGATTTCGGACAGCGAGAATGGTATATTAGAAACATATAGAGTCATATACCAGTAAGACTGGCTGCAGGCTGCAAATTCTGCTATTTATAGCCAAAATGAAAAATATGAGAGAATCTACATTAAGTTGTTCTTGAATAATTTCTGTTATTACACACGTTTCTACATCAATGTAATTTGTAATGTAATTAATTGTATGTTTTGCAATACAGGAGTATCGATGTATTAAGTCGTGAGAGTCATCTCCCAATGCAATGCTGTATTTCCGCATCGTTACACTTTTAGTTATATTTGTTTCTCGATGTGATAGTCAGGTTATAGTTGCCCATATTGAAATAACCACATGATGTCATACCAACATCAGAGAGTATCAGGGCCTCCTTTCACAAAGCTCTAAGGTGATCGTAAGTCACTAAGGTAACCTTAGTGCAATGTTAAAGAATGGGAGTTAAGGTTAACCTTAGTAAAGGTTGGTTTGTGAAAGGTGCCCATTTGTCTGAGGCACTGCATTTCTCTCTGCAAAGTTTTGTCCAGAAACTTTTTGACCCCGTGAAGATATGGGTTAGAATTGGTCTTCAGTAACTCACGCTTACCATAAGAAGCGACTATCAGGTGGTCAGATTTGTTGACTTGGTTGACACATGTCATCGTATGCCCATGCTGTTGATCACTGGATTGTCTGGTCCAAACTTGTCTGGACCACCGCTATAGAGCTCGAATATTGCTGAATGCCGCGTTAAACAACAACCAACCAGCCAACCAGAAACCTTTGATCACACGTTTGAATTCTGGTTCAATCTGATCATGTTAATAGGTTTGTCAGCACCAAACCTGTGCTCATTGGTTTCACTATAGAGGTAACGTCGCAGACCTGCATCACGTCTGGCCCGACTCACACTTTAGGCTGAAATGCGATACTATTACTCAAGTACTATTCAAGTATATCATATGTTAAATTTACACTTTCTCGGTTTCAAATTTTTATCAAGCTGATGATGATTTTGATGGAATCCACAAAACTGCGCATAACTGTTGTTTGAAATGCTTGGAGTTGACATTTTGTGCAGGATGCATGATTCGAAAACACATTCCGACCTTCACTTTATCCCAAACTCTTGGAAACAATGTTCTGATCTGTCAAATGAACAGTAACATTCTGCCATGATAAATAGTGTGCAACAAGGTTGAATCTTGTTGAGATCTCACAATTCCTAACACTGCAAAGGCACCTTCAGTTGAATCTCAGATGTTCACACAAGGGAGGGAACTCTAGGATTATTATGCACAAAATCAGCTGTGGTTGATGAATACTGAATGGCAAACCAAACATCATGTTAGTGTTGTTGATGATTTTTACACTGAGTATTCAGTTATTAATGACAAATCGTCTTTTGTATGTGACACTTCAGCAGAAAACAAGTAAGTGTGAATTCTAGATAAAATATTTTTAGTTCTTGATGTAAAAGAAGTTTGCAGCTGGTTGATCTAACAAATAATGACTAATTGTCTTTTGTATGTGACACTTCAGCAAAAAACAAGTAAGTGTGAAATCTAGATACATTATTTTTAGTTCTTGATGAAAAAGATGTTTGCAGCTTAAGTTGATCTAACAAATAATGACTTAACGTCCGAACTATCCTCACTTTTCAGTTTAGTTGTTTGCAACGATAAAATTATGCTCAGCAGAAGAGGTCATCCTTTACGGACTTCCCACTAGTTGACTCAGCAGGATCATTGGTTTTATTAGATGCTGGATCTATTCTGTCTCAGCACAGCTTGCCTTCAACACAATCACCTGGGACTGCTACTGCTTAACATCAGTGTTTACTTTTCCAATAAATCAAACCCATTGGCCTTCTCGAGTTTGTCACTGATGAAATTCTGTATAAAAGGTGCTCAATGATTAGAAATTGGTTTGGCATTGAAAGTCATAATAATGTAATCTTGTTGCTCTAATAGCATGTACACAGCCACAAGTTGAATAAAATATTCATGCCTTGGCATTTATAAGCATCCTGCAAGTGAATGAAGCTTTGGATCAATATTGTAGAATGGACAGTATTGTTCCACATTCTACCCTAGCCAGTGCTGACTTGTGGACAGAATTGCAGGCCACAATTTGCTGCCATCGCTACGTAATGGCCGGTAATTAGCAATCCAGTTGGAAGTTCCGTGTATCCATGGGATGGTTGCCTAAACACTGCTCACATATTGACGAAAGCGTGTGATCAACCAGGGAATGCTTGGTTGTCTGGAGCTAACTTCCTGTAGATAAGTCATGGGAAGGTGCTAGCATTAGATGGTGGCTGAATGCATGACTGTTGGAGCAGACGTCAACTTGTACCTGGTGCCGTCTGCTTGTTGTAATTTGGATACTGGGTGTTGATTGGAGGAGGTGGACTTGTGTTGGGCACAAGAGGTAGGTGGATGTTTACCTAGTTTGTGTTTTTGTATGGTGGATGTTTGAATGACTAAAGGTGGTGTGATGTTTGGACTCCCACACCATATTGTTGGCTCTGCTACCTAGGATTTCACATGTAGACAAACATATGCTTGGTTGAGGGGCACATAATGAGGTATAATGTGTTACCTTGTGTTGTTTATATATAACTGTTATGTGCACAATAACTAGAAAATATTTCTATGTATTCACAATAATAATGAGCTAAATCGTCGCATAAACGCTTCCTTAATATAATTTGCATACATATATAAATAATTGCTATTTTCATTTTGAAGAAGGCGAATGAGAGAGTTTCTATCTTTACAGTCAATATTTAACATGTATCCCGTTCTTAAATCATCATATTGTGGGCAAATAAACATAAAAATGAACCTCATCTTCTAAAATGTTCTTACAAAATGGACAAAATCTTAATTCTCTTGGGATATTATTTCTTCTGCCTGTATTTTCATAATATTTAATTCACCAAATCTTAAAAGTGATAAAATCTTCTTAAATCTTTGTTATATAATGTTGACAAGTATGATTCCATATTAAGCATTACTTTTGACACATGAATAGAACTCTAAATTAGAATGTTCATTTAACATAGAAAATATACACTGGGCGTTACAATCTTTAACTTCGTTGAGAGAACTGTTTAAAAAATAAATCCGTGTTAACAATATTTTGAAACTCCCACGATAGCTGAAACCATAAATATAAATTAATTTCCTCACTTCAGTTACCCATGACTTGCGGTTAATATCGTCCATTCTTTTAACATAATATAGGTTTGTTTTGGATATCTAGTCTCTTCCATAATTAATAATTTACACCAGTACTTAACACATCTTATTATAGAATCACAACATATATGATGATCGACCACATTCAGATAAAACAGCTGCATTTGTTGTAGTAATACCAACACCAAGAACATATTTACAGTATTTTACATGAAATCTTTCTTGAATTAGCCACTCTTGAAAACCCCATATTTCTGAGCAGTATAATAAGATAGGCTTAATTTGTGTATCAAACATTTGAAATAAGACAGTAGGAGAAAGATTTTTCATTTTATGATGAAGCTGTTTAATTGGAAAAAGGGCTTTATTAGCTTTCAGAACGAGAGTCTGGACTGCTTTTGACCAAGATAGTCTGCTGGAAAATAAAATACCCAGATAGCTGTAATAGCATGTAGTTTTCAACTTCACATGGTTAAACATCCACACATCTGAATGTTATAATTAACAGAAAGTGACTTTTAACTGTAGGCATTCAAGGTAGTTCTTACAAATGTTGGTTTGCTTTGGCTGGTAAATACATAAAACATTTTACACACTTTGTTTAGTATGAAAATATGTACTGGGGCATTGTTTAGTATGGAAATATATACTGGGGCATTGTTTAGTATGGAAATATATACTGGGGCATTGTTTATTATGAAAATATCTACTGGGACATAGGTCAGGGCAAAAATATGTACTGGGGCATTTGTTAGTATGAAAATATATACTGGGGCATTGTTTAGTATGAAAATATGTACTGGGGCATTGTTTAGTATGAAAATATATACTGGGGCATTGTTTAGTATGAAAATATCTACTGGGGCATTGTTTAGTATGAAAATATATGTTGGAGCACTAGTTAGTATGAAAATATATGTTAGGGCATTGGTTAGTATGAAAATATGTACTGGGGCATTGGTTAGTATGAAAATATATACTGGGGCATTGGTTAGTATGAAAATATGTACTGGGGCATTGGTTAGTGTGAAAATATATACTGGGGCATTGGTTAGTATGAAAATATATACTGGGGCATTGGTTAGTATGAATATATATACTGGGGTATTGGTTAAATGAAGTATATGAATATATATACTGGGGCATTGGTTAGTATGAAAATATGTACTGGGGCATTGGTTAGTATGAATATATATACTGGGGCATTGGTTAGTATGAAAATATATACTGGGGCATTGGTCAGTATGAAAATATATACTGGGGCATTGGTTAGTATGAAAATATATACTGGGGCATTGGTCAGTATGAAAATATAAACTAGGGCATTGGTTATTATGAAAATATATATTGGGGCATTGGTTAGTATGAATATATATACTGGGGCATTGGTTAGTATGAAAATATATGTTGGGGCATTGGTTAGTATGAAAATATATACTGGGGCATTGGTTATTATGAAAATATATGTTGGGGCATTGGTTAGTATGAAAATATAAACTAGGGCATTGGTTAGTATGAAAATATATATTGGGGCATTGGTTAGTATGAAAATATATACTGGGGCATTGGTTAGTATGAAAATATATGTTGGGGCATTGGTTAGTATGAAAATATGTACTGGGGCATTTGTTAGTATGAAAATATACTGGGGCATTGGTTAGTATGAAAATATATACTGGGGCATTGGTTAGTATGAAAATATATGTTGGGGCATTGGTTAGTATGAAAATATATACTGGGGCATTGGTTAGTATGAAAATATATGTTAGGGCATTGGTTAGTATGAAAATATGTACTGGGGCATTTGTTAGTATGAAAATATATATTGGGGCGTTGGTTAGTATGTAACTATATGTTGAAGCTTTGTTTAGTATGAAAATATGTACTGGGGCATTTGTTAGTATGAAACTATATACTGGGGCATTTGTTAGTATGAAAATATATATTGGGGCGTTGGTTAGTATGTAACTATATGTTGAAGCTTTGTTTAGTATGAAAATATGTACTGGGGCATTGTTTAGTATGAAAATATCTACTGGGGCATTGGTTAGTATGAATATATATACTGGGGCATTGGTTAGTATGAAAATATGTACTGGGGCATTGGTTAGTGTGAAAATATATACTGGGGCATTGGTTAGTATTTAACTATATGTTGAAGCATTGGTTAGTATGAAAATATATACTGGGGCATTGGTTAGTATGAATATATACTGGGGCATTGGTTAGTATGAAAATATATGTTGGGGCATTGGTTAGTATGAAAATATATACTGAGGCATTGGTTAGTATGAAAATATATGTTGGGGCATTTGTTAGTATGAAAATATATACTGGGGCATTGGTTAGTATGAAAATATATGTTTGGGCATTGGTTAGTATGAAAATATATACTGGGGCATTGGTTAGTATGAAAATATATGTTAGGGCATTGGTTAGTATGAAAATATATACTGGGGCATTGGTTAGTATGAAAATATATGTTTGGGCATTGGTTAGTATAAAATATGTTGGGGCATTGGTTAGTATGAAAATATATACTGGGGCATTGGTTAGTATGAAAATATATGTTGGGGCATTGGTTAGTATGAAAATATATACTGGGGCATTGGTTAGTATGAAAATATATATATGCATTGGTTAGTATGAAAATATACATAGCATCAAAATATATACTGGGCATTGGTTAGTATGAAAATATATACTGGGGCATTGTTTAGTATGAAAATATATACTGGGGCATTTGTTAGTATGAAAATATATACTGGGGCATGGTTAGTATGAAAATATTGGGGCATTAGTTAGTGTGAAAATATGTACTGGGGCATTGGTTAGTATGAAAATATATACTGGGGCATTGGTTAGTATGAAAATATATGTTGGGGCATTGGTTAGTATGAAAATATATACTGGGGCATTGGTTAGTATGAAAATATATGTTGGGGCATTGGTTAGTATGAAAATATATACTGGGGCATTGGTTAGTATGAAAATATATGTTGGGGCATTGGTTAGTATGAAAATATATACTGGGGCATTGGTTAGTATGAAAATATATGTTGGGGCATTGGTTAGTATGAAAATATATGTTAGGGCATTGGTTAGTATGAAAATATATACTGGGGCATTGGTTAGTATGAAAATATATACTGGGGCATTTGTTAGTATGAAAATATATGTTGGGGCATTGGTTAGTATGAAAATATATACTGGGGCATTGGTTAGTATGAAAATATATGTTGGGGCATTGGTTAGTATGAAAATATGTACTGGGGCATTGGTTAGTATGAAAATATATGTTGGGGCATTGGTTAGTATTTAACTATATGTTGGGGCATTGGTTAGTATGAAAATATATACTGGGGCATTTGTTAGTATGAAAATATATACTGGCGTATTTGTTAGTATGAAAATATGTACTGGGGCATTGGTTAGTATGAAAATATATACTGGGGCATTGGTTAGTATGAAAATATATGTTGGGGCATTGTTTAGTATGAAAATATATACTGGGGCATTGGTTAGTATGAAAATAAATGTATATAGTGTTGGTATGAAAATAGATTGTGTTCAATACAAATATATATAAGTATGAAAGTATAAAAAGCATCATCATCACCATCATCATGTATCTGTATCACTTCAGTATCTGTCTGAATGAGTCTATATATCTTCCCACGACAGTATTGTCCCCACAATGAAAGTCAATGTGAGCAGGCTGAGTGTCATATTTCTCCGCTGGAATGTATCAACTGTAATGTGTAATCAGCTTGACATTTACATGCATACTGTAGCTAGCAGATGGAAGAACCTTATACCATGAATGACAGAAGGCTGAGATCGACTTGTGATATGTTCAGTGTCACTGAATCAATTATTCCATTCAGGAAGAGAAGTGTTGAATTAGCCATAGAATTAAGGGCTTCAGGCCACATAGGTTTTAATTATGGCCACATCGTCCTAATCAGATACAGTTACATAACGCTGAGAATGACAGACTGATCTCTTGCTTCACAGTGAAACAGGATGTGTTACCATTTATAGATGTACACATACAGATTATACCATATATAGATGTGGGAGTTTGTATAATGAATCCAATTTGGTTTCTGTCAGGTGCTTCTATTGGCTGTATCTAATCTTATCATATCACAAATACTGATCCGTAAAAACATAGCTGTTGATTACTCATCAGAACTGTATATGTTCGATATTGGCACTTTATTG